TAGAAAGTACCCATTATTAAGGCTACTTAAGTAAAGTACAGATACATGAAAATTTTACTTAAGTACAGTAACGAAGTACTTGTACTTCGCTACTTCCCACCACTGCAGCCCAAGGAGGATCTTGACTGTATTCACATGATTTTAATTGTATTTCTTATTTATGGAAACACTGAAATTGCGGAATATCAAAGTTTTATGCATATTTGTAATGGAAACAGATATTGAGGGGTATTTTGGACTAAAGGTTCTGACTGGGACATCCCTACTTTGCACACCTGATTGCTGAAGGTTATTGCATGAACTGAACAATGAATGGATCAATGTCTCTGGGAATGATCTTTTTAGTGTCTTAGTCTAAACTCAAATGCATATTAAATTTGACCCATTGAGATTTGGTTAATTGTCAAATTCAGGGTTCAGAGCGCTTCGTCAAAGCATCTGAACATTTATCAACTCATGGATTCAGACATGAACATCCAAAACACATTGAGCTACACACAGTTAAGTTCATTCTAATAATGTTTCTCACAAATTGACTCATCATTACATGTGGGATGTGATCTGATGATTTTTGCTGTGATTTGCAAAGCAGTGCGTGTTGGCCTACACCTGAAATATTCCCCCTTTCTTGCAGGTCGTCTCATCTGTCCCACTGAACTTGGATGGGAAGGCCGCTCCGGGTCAGGTTCCCACTGGGAGTGTTTGTTATGAAAGAAATGGAGTAAGCAAAGAAACACTTTCGTTGTTATTATTTTAGTTAATTTGTTTTCCAAACCCCCTTTAATGCTGTTGGATGTTGACTGCAGGAGGTTTTTTATCTGACATATACTCCTGATGATGTGGAGGGGAATGTCCCTTTGGAGACGGGCGACAAAGTCAGCTTTTACATGGAGACAAACAAGCAGTACGTTTTAATATGAATTCAGATCATCGTGGCTTGGACTTGATTTCATAGTAACAGCCTGTTTGTGTTTCAGTACTGGTGCAGTGAGTGCTCGCAATATTCAGCTTGTGAAGAAAAAGCAGGCGAGGTGCCAGGGTGTGGTATGTGCTACAAAGGTAAGTGTTGCTTTATAACAAAGATGTATAATGCTGCAAAAGTATTTGATTCAAATCTCAATGTACTTTATTGGCATTTTATGCAGTGGAATCGTACGAACTCTCCTTTTCTTCCACTTCAAAATTCTACATGAATGTAACATTGTGGGCGTCTGGCTAATGAAATCCCTGTCATGTGCATTAAAGGTTGTTGTTGCAACCTAATAAAAGTTCAGAGTGTGAATACCTTTTAATTCTACTGCTTTTGGAATCATTGTAAGTATCAAAGTTGTGTTTTTGTCATTCAGGAGGCCTTTGGGTTCATTGAGAGGGCAGATGTGGTGAAGGAGATCTTTTTTCACTACAGCGAGTTTAAGGGCGACCTGGAGGCTCTTCAGGCTGGAGATGATGTGGAGTTCACCATCAAAGACAGAAACGTGAGCTGCTTTTTCTGAATAAAACATTAATCTGTGCTGCTGAATGTCCACCTGACCGATTCCTGTTCCCACAGGGGAAGGAAGTAGCTACGGACGTGCGCCTGCTCCCTCAGGGGACCGTCATCTTTGAAGACATAAGCATTGAGCAATTCGAAGGCACTGTTGTTAAAGTTATTCCCAAGGTTCCCACGAAAAACCAGGTGATTAGAATACTAATACAGAGCAATTTAAAAGGAAACCAAAGAGAATAGAAATGTATAAACTGGACATGCTAACAAGTCCTTTCTGTTCCTGTAGAGTGACCCTCTGCCTGGCCGCATCAGTACGAGGATCGGTTTCTCTGAGAAGGAGCTTCCTTTTGGAGAGAAGGACACAAAGTCTAAGGTGACTCTTTTGGAGGGAGACCACATTCAGTTTAACATCTCCACTGACCGCAGAGACAAACTAGAGAGGGCTACAAACATCGAAATCCTCCCAGACACCTTCAACATGACCAAGGAGACCCGTGAAATGGTTTGAGTTTTATTTTGTTCTGACCTTTTGTTCATCAAGCAGAGTGTCTGATCCTCAACCCTCGCTCTCCCTCAGGGCGTGATTGCAGCCATACGCGACGGCTTCGGCTTCATAAAGTGCGTGGATCGAGATGCCCGAATGTTCTTCCACTTCAGCGAGGTCCTGGAGGAAAGCCAACTGCACATCTCGGATGAAGTGGAGTTCACTGTTGTGCCTGTAGGTTCTGTTAAGCTTTTCACAAAAGTATGTATTACCTGAAACTGGCTAAAGCGAGTATATTCTGATTTGTTTGTCACTTACCAAACTGAAGGAAATGTCGTTGGCAGGATATGCTGTCTGCTCAGAGAAACCATGCAGTTCGCATTAAGAAGCTTCCCAAAGGGACGGTGTCCTTCCACACCCAGTCTGAGCAGCGGTTTGTGGGCGTCGTGGAGAAGGAAGTCGTGTCGGCCTCCAACAAGAATGCGAGCCCCAGCAAGGGAAAGGAGAAGGTACGTTTCTGCACTAACTAGGAGTATCTTCCCCAAACCTGCCCTACTTGTTTTCCAACCATTGTTGTAGTTTTTCGTCCCTCTTCGCCACCTCCTCTCAGTTTTTAGTTCTAATGCTGGTCTTTGTTTTCTCCCTCAATGACCTCCCCCTGCTCATGCTTCTTTGGTTAGAAAAAAGACAAGGTAGGACCGGCATGAAGCCACTTGTTTTAGAGAGAAACTAACATTTAGCATAAAGAATGCCTTAGTTTTGTGTCTCAGTTGACCAGTCTTAATTATAAAACTTTTTACCATATAAGGCATGCTGTCTAATAGTTTACAGTTTCTCTGATTTTTTTAATTTATTTATTTATTATTTAAGGGGAAAGTTGTAGAAAAGGTTTGTGTTCAGGCCTCAGGCCCTTTCATATATTTGTTTATAGTCGGCAGCATGGTATTGCATTACCTAGTCCTAAAAGGGCTGTACAATATAAATCAAACGGCAATTTCTGCAAGAATTTAAATGGCGGCTGTGGGTGATGATGCAGGGCTGGGCGATGTAGCTTAAATTATTTATTTTTTCCTCTAAAAAAATTACAAATGGCAGAAAATATTTTTAAAAAGTGTCTTTTATTTCAATCATCTCCCCTGTGAGTTTACCTAAATTTGAAGTTGAAATAAACAGAAGCTGTAAAATGTTCTTGTCAAACAAGATGGTAGTTCTTGGGCATGATGACATCAGTATGAACTATGGAAACACAAGGAATCCACTGGAGAAAAATATTTTCCAAGAATTAAATTTTCAAAAACTGAAAAGTTAAATAAAAGATTATTAAATTGTTCATTTATTTCAATAACTCAATTGATTAAGTAAAACCCATTGATAACACATATTGAAGTTATGTTTAGTTTTTAGCTTACAGCAAATGAAAACAAGGCAATTGAAATCAATAAAACAATTTTAATTTGGAGGGCTTGTTTAATATCGTCTTTTAATCTGACACAACGGCTTTATTAAAATATGATTGCATCTATCATACCAACATTTTCTTTTTACACAAACATTTTATGTAATGCTCATATTGAGGACTTTACATAAACTCTGGCTCCATATTTCTGCCGTGTCACCTTCCTGTCTTGGCAGCTGTCTCTAATACGACTGAACTTTGCATGTTTCAAAATAACTCGAAGAAAATATGAACATCAACGCGGGCATAAGAAGTTGATGATCTGAGTAATCTGCTCATTTTCTTTGTTAGAATTGGAATAGTTTGTGTTGTAATGCCAGTAGCTAAACCTTAATTATGCAGCCCTATGCTGTAGGCTCTAACCACAAGCTGATGCTAACAGCCACAGCTACTGTAGAATAATATAACGCACACACTAGCTGTGCTCATGCTTTCAGACTGTTTTCACTTTTTTGTCATGTAATGCTACTGGTTTAGTTGTTTTTCAGACATTGCCATCTTTCACCTCCCTTGTGAGGAACTTGTCTTTCATTCTTTAAGTTCTCAGGTGTTGCACATATTTAAAGGAACAGTAATAAGTGCAGTATGCTCTTCTGTCTGTAGGAAGCTGAGGAGGGAGTGATTGCCTATGAAGACTGTGGTGTGAAGCTCACTGTGCCGTATCATGTTAAAGACCTGGAGGGAGGAACTTTCCCTCAAGCTGGAGAGAAGGTAATAATGAAACATGGTGTAAAATTAAATGCAATTTTTGTTAACGACTTGTCTTTATTCTATGCAGTATTCAAAATTCATGAAAATATACAAATAAACAAATAACTCTTTTAAATGATAAAAATTTTATTGCCTAAATGCAATAACAGCATATTTTAGTGAATGTTTGATAATTTGTAGCACAGCATGGAACTAAAACTACATTCCTAACACGAACATGTGAAAAGCTCAGGCCTTTCTGTTGTAAGGCAGATCTCCATTCATCCATTTTCTGTTCACCCTTGTCCCTTATTGGGGTCAGGAGGGCTACTGGTGCCTATCTCCAGCTAATGTTCTGGGCGAGAGGCGGGGGTCACCCTGGACAGGTTGCCAGTCTGTCACAGGGCAACACAGAGAAAGACAGGACAAACAACAATGCACACACTCACACCTAGGGACAATTTAGAGAAACCAATTAACCTGACAGTCATGTTTTTGGACTGTGGGAGGAAACCGGAGAACCTGGAGAGAACCCATGCAGAAGTTCTCCCCGTGCAGCCCACAGTGGTACAAGGCAGATCTGTTGATTTATTTTTTTAATTTACCAATTAATAATTTCATTGACCAAGGTGTTTTTTAGGAGCTTTTTACCACTCTTCACCTTTGAACCAGGTGAA